AAAGGTCCATCTCCTCCAGCCCATATGCCTATATTATTTATTTTTTTATTTATTTGGTATTACTATTTATTTATTACTAAGCAAAATTCTGATTTCAACCAGAAATTTCTTCGTTTATACTGTAAAAAGACGTCTACTTGGTAGATGCGCGCATTTTTTATCTTTACAAAGAATTACTAGTGGCTTCATTTCAAGGACAACATCAATTGCCTTTCGGCATGGACGCTTTGAATTAAGATCGATGTGCGGCAATTATCCGAAACATTTCCTATCTTCTCCTATTTCATAGACGCCACTGACATAACAATTGGAAGCAAAAGACAACGATCCCCAAAGTAATATCCTCGGGGTAAATCCCAGATTTTTAATGAGGAACGTCAGTTAGAACAATCTAGGAATCGGATCACCTGCATTTCTTGTGAATATTTCAGAAATCACGCCATGAGCCATACGGTAGTATTTCAAAATTGCTTTGACAATTTGACTCGGTGTTTTGTTTACTGCTAATATCTTGTCGCAGTACGCAATCCAAAAATGTCCAAAAGGATGGTGATTGTGGGCAAAACTTTGGCTTCAGACGACTCGAACAGTACTTCTCCTTGGTTTCGCCAGCCATGCTTTGGGATTATATTCACATAGGCTAAAGGCAGCTGAAACTGACAACACAATAGGTAAGCTTAAATCAAGATTAAGTAAGGACTGAAGAATTGTAGTCGAATAGGTCGCTATGAATTTATCAGGTTTTCATTCCTATGCTGCTTACAATATGCAAGCCTTTCAAATCTTTCAGCTACCAGTCCCACTAGAGAAAAATTCTATCAAATCAGCCATAACCTTTGAAGCAAAAATCAATAACAATTATAATAATTCAGAATTGATCCTGTCATGCTTACCCTTTTCTAAAACCAGTGGGAATTACCGCACTTTCAAATTTCTTGCCATACTACCGTACGGACCTTTCTTTTCAACAGGGGGATCACGGGTCTCATCTTATCAACTTGTTTCTACCTAACCCATATTATCATTTTCATTTAATTTTGCACCTATTTTTTTTTTTGAACGACTGAATCAGTCTATCAAAATAGGTCCATCAGCAGCCCTCCTACGTTTTGTTAATCAATTTGTATTCATTTATGAAGTTCTCAAGCGAATTCGCTTCATTCCTTACAGTGCCACGCCTTTTTTTTTCAAAACGTTAAGGGCTAAATAGATACATAAACGGAATATACTCGGCAATCACCCACTTTTTTAACATCTTTGGTTATAGGTTGATCTACAGAACAATTCCTATAAGAGCCAATGTTCCAATCACTTTATTCCTCCTAGGGTCTGCCCATCACAATTTTCTTGATTTTGAAATAACCAATATGTAGTTCAATTAGCCTGGTTTTGATCTATTTTACTAAATATGGAGGAAACCTGACTTTGGGAAGCCAAATTTTAAGTATGAGACGTTACGTTTTTATTAATTTTTTAATGTGCGGCGCCTCCGAGAGCAAAAAGTGGGTAAATAAGTAGGTAAATGAACGAATATATATTCGAATTACTATTATCCTAAAAGTGGAATCTTATGGGTTCGCAATGAACTTTAATTTCGACCGCATAAGCCTGCCTAATTACCACTAATATGCAAGTAGCGAAAAATTTCCCACGAAAGGAGTTGGAATAAAGGAAATTCGCAACGAAAACGCCAAATTTCATTAGCGAAACGACATTGACTCGTCGCGTTCCCATTATTCGAAAGCAAAAACATGTAAAGTAATTGACATTAGTATCACATTCGCCATGACCGCAATATAGTGGGTTTTCTAAGTCAGCGAACGGGGAAGTCATAAACCATGACTCTCGGATTGCTGAAGACTCGCTGAATGAATTCGAAGGAAACATTGGTGAACAAAGTTTTTGAATCTAATCATTAAATAGCCAAGTGTTCTAGTATAGAGATTTCACTTGGTTTGCAGCACTAAAACAGCAGCGGCTTCTTGAAAGAGGTCGGTGCTGTTGAGGTGCTGCAAACATATAGTACCAGTTCTTACGATCTCTGCTTTTGGGTAATGGGAAAAAGACGGGACAAGCTCGTTGCTTTGTTGAGATTAGGTGTTCTCGCTGAGACCTTTTTTATTTCAATTCTTAGACCACCAGGGAGGGTGTAGAACCTGGGAAACTTTCTTAACCATTTGTAAAGGAAAGAAAGACACAGACAGACCAGCCTGTATTGATAATGTGTAAGGGTATGAGAGAAACGGACTCCTCTAAAAACTAAAAACGGTAACTCACAGCTACTTCTCATCCTTCTGCACTAATACATATGTTCTAAATCTCGAGAGCAAGTATTAGACTTCATATGCTTCTCTAATGAATGTACGAGCCATGTAGTCAAAACATGCTCTAAGAATGGAACCAAGACTTCTCAGAACCTTTGTTATTTTTGAATCGACGCTATTATTCTACGCTACTGTCGTTATTATTACTTTCGCGGAGCACATTCACACAAATTGATTAGAGGAACTAGGAAACCTCAAACAGCAAAGTCTATACGATGAAAGCTGATTAAATGCACTAGGGAACCTCAACCAACAAAGTCTACAGGATGAATGCAATGGAGAACGAAAGGGAAGCGATGGTACAGAAACGTATGAAAGAAGAGAAGAAATGAAAAATCAGCGATTCCGTGAAATTGGAGAAACGAAAAGATTTGAGTGATCGATCGAAAAAAGGAGACTGAACGTACTATGCCGACGGTTCCAGTAAAGCAAGCCAGAAACGAAATTGAATCCGATAACCACTAGGCATTCGGTTTTTCGGCCTAATGCGTAGAGCCTCTGATAGCTTATTTGACAAACAGGAGAAAAAACTTTGGCTGAGGGCTTTTCATTGAGCTCAACTCCAAGATCGTACTACTTCGAGTAGAGTACCAAAATAGAGAAAAAGGTCTAGCCATTGAGCAGTGCCTGCAGAAAAGGAGTTTCAAGTCAGCTTCAGTACCCTATGTATTCAAGTAACTATTGCTGAAAACACCCAAACAATTACCCGTTGACTCCTTTTAAACATTGAGCAATGTCTTTTGCACCGTGACACGGGAGTAAGACAAAGTGTTCCACGTCGATCAGTCCCTCTCAACAAAATGGGAAATGTGCACCCAACTTCTTTCAGGTTCTTAGTGAGCAGGATATGCTGGAAATTATGGAAGAGTCGAAGATTCCAGACGTTCCAGGCGTTCAACATTTCCAGTCAAACTTGTCAACCATCAACCGCAACCAGACTAATAAAAATCCAGTTAGCCCGGATGATATCAATGACCATGCAACAAGCAAATGCCATCGGTTGCGTCTAGCCGCCACATCTGCCATGGTTTTTTCTTTTTTTTGATTAGACAAATCCACTACAGGTTTTCAGTGATGGGCGTATGGAAGCAATCAGGCAGAAACGAACGGTCGCACGGAGATGTTAATTAAATCGTCGCTGTTTTCCAAAGCCAACTCAGGCAGGTGATTGTGGTAATTGCCCCTATGCATTTCAAATTAAGCATTTTCCACGTATTCACTAACGTTACTTTATAGGGCTGTCTGCACTTGCTATTTCAGCGAACAAGCTGCCGTAATTACCTGCAGAAACCCCCCTTATCCAACTTGTTCATTAAATAACTGAAGAGCTTTTCGCGAAAAAAAAAANAAAAAAAAAATTCTGTGCATCTCTTTTTACACGACGACCCGCCTATATTCTGATTCCCTTTCGAGCTGCACCTGTGCATACATGCACCGTGAACGGAAAACCTCCCAAAAATGTCAGAAGGATATGGAAATTTCATCCAAAAAGAGGGAAATGGAAAGGCGGAAGGACGGAAAAGTTAGACAATCGAACAATCAACACTAAAGTTGCCCTGATGATTGCTTTTCTTCCGAAATCTGCTCAAATTCTTTAATGGACGGAATCCGTTTCAGTTTCTTTGTGAGGAAAAACGTTCAGTGACACGTTTGATCATGGTAAAGGAGTAGCTGTTCTCACAAACTCCACCCACTCTACGAACCACGCCTCTAATAATCGTTCTACCACACATGGCAACCCACTCCATTCAAATTATTTACTGGCATTCAATTATACGATTGAACATTTTCCCCATCAACAGAAATAGATGAGACTGGGCAAAGCTCGAAAAAGCAAGATGTTGAGACTCCGCCTCCAACAGAACGAGAGGCCTTTTCGCACAACAAGGGCATAACCATTTTTTGGCATGATTTCGTACATCATCAAGTCTTCTATACAAAAGATTTCTAGCAAGATAGAGTACAAGGTATTATGTGAAACTTGAGGTCACGGTAGAGTGATTGGATGAAAAATCCATGGAAAATCCAGGGCATGAAGAAATTCAGAGTAACAACGGGCGGAACTGATGCGCTTCTGAATTCCGTGTAGTGACTGTCACACGCAAACAATGTGTTCGTTGATATCGACAACGGCGAATATCAAATAAACGTTTTTTTTTTATGAAATCAAAACGTTGTCTCCCAATAGCTACAATGAAAACGCTTTGTTCTTCACGAAAAACGTTTCACTGTAGTGTTTCGGAATAGCGAAACTACATTGGTTCCACACATATCATCATTAAAGCAACACTGCACTAACAACCCATTACTTTTTGGGTTTTGTAGATATTTGATCAGCAGTCGTACCATAACCATGATAAACCCATCAATGCCACTATTCAACGCCGATCAAACGTCATTTTCGAATTCCTCTTTTCAGTGGAGGTCGGAAAAAGGCAGAACCGAGACCGGGAAAAGGAAGACCGTAACAGATCAATCTGGAATAAATTACGAAAAAATGGGAAAGTGGAAGTCAGTTCTAACCGCGTCGATTTCGGGGATATTTTCTTTCAGCACTTTTTATCACGCCTTATCAATAGTTAACTTATTCGATCAATTTACATTAAATGAAAACATTTAGAAAGTTGAAGGAGAGGCGGTACTTTGTTGTCACAAAGGTATGGTTTCAGCACCCAAATGATAAGGTTTCTTACAACGTCTCTCAGTTTCACTAACACCATACCAAGAGATAAATCACACTACAACTCTGTTGAGCCTTCAACACGGAAAAAGATCTGCGGTATGACAACAAGTCCAAGTCCAAGGAACAGCCGACATGTTGTAGAAAAGAAGCAAAAGCCGTTCATGGCGACCACTAGCACCACCGAGCTAGACTTGCGTCGTAGTAATGCCCTCGAAGACTGGATGAACGAAATGAGACATCAGGAGAAGCCTATTGCAATGACAAATCGAACCGAAGCGGAACAAATCGCATCGGATGAGTGAAGAAAAGGCAAACTGAACGAGTTTCGAGCGTGCCAAACAGCGCACTAAACGCGAGCGCCGGTGCCATCTGAATAGAAGGACGACGAATGGGATATGCTGATATGTGGGGGCGTGTGCAAGTCTTCGGCTCCATCTATTTGTCACTTTTGCAGTGAATATGTCAAAGCTATTCAATGGATAGACGTAAAAAGAGGGAATTGAGTATTTATAAATTAGAAATGTTTAATCAATCGCCATCGGAGTAACGCATGCCAGTCGCTCTTTGCATTTCCCACGCCACATGAGCATATTATGGAACTAATCAGAAGGAAAGAAAAGTCATTAAGGATAATCAGACGGATATCGGGAGCAACACAGCAAATGATATGATGACGCCTCTTAAGTCTTTCTTATTACTACATATTTGTGTGATAAACGGGCTAAAAGAAGGAACAAAAGCCTCCCATTCATGTGAAACTCATTGCTATGCGGCATTTTCTCAAGTGCAGAAAAGAGCTTTGAGAGTGCTAAGCACCCTAACAATGGCAATCTAGTGAGAAACGAGTGACAGAGCACAATTATGAACAATGGGAGAGAATTTAACAAATCAGCGGTTGACATTTGATAATTATTCATAATTAGCATTAAATTGAATCGATTTCACCGACTATCAAACGATAACGGTGTGTCTATCATCCCAAAAAAGGAAAAATAACGCCGAAACAATAAAAAGATAGTGGAGATAACGTGGGGAAGGCGAGAAAGATGGAAATGATAAAAACCAAGCAGACACTATTTTGAATCTGGTTGAAAAAAACTGAAATCAAAAAGAATGGACCTTCTTGGGCAACATCGAACGTTAAGACTTTTTAAGTTATTCTATGAGGACGAGGGAAGGGCCTCTCACGAGCCAAATGTGACAAGTATCCGGAACATTTCACGGAAACTTACCAGAATTGCTCCCATAATTTCATAGTGAATCCAAGACCGCCGAATACTAAAACGGAGCCAGAGAATTGGATAAAACTGGGATTTCTTATATACTCGCATTCCTCACTGACAAGAGCTACCAATGAGATCTTGAATTCGTACGGAGTGTACGTTGGATAAATCGCGATCCAATTAGCGTTTATCTGATTACATGAGTAGTAAAAGCTATTCATTCAATGTACCTTTTAGAATTCTAACTGCAAAATTCTGCTGAAAACGACTATTCAAATACCGACCTTCTTGCAAGAGTTTAATTACTTTCAAGCTTAATTCATTGCATCTGAAATGGGCATAAAATCTTTTTCAGAAAACCACTGTGCTCGGGCAGTAACCCATGGAAAAGATCTTAGAGCTTTGCTGATCAGCTGCATAATCACCGCAGATGTGAAGATATCTATTCTCTCTATCCTAGCACACAATTACAACTTGAGATCATTTCTTTCTACACAGAAGGAAGATTGTTCGACTATTTTCAGGCTACTGTAGGAGACATTCGATTTTTATTTTTCAAGGTAGGTATAGGATGTAGCACGAGGCGCGCCCTACCACATGCATGGTCTTGAATCCCTGCTCAAAACTCGCCTCGGTCAACCAAGCCCTTCATTCCCACAGAGCCGGCTTATTGCTACCAGACTCATTTGAGAGGATTAAAGCATTGACATGTACATAGGTTGGCCACCGCAACCCAATATACAAGCCAGATACGCATGAAAACGTCACTAGAATTTCGGATGGAAGTCGAGTGCGGTGCGCATCATAAAAAAACAGATTTGACTGAAGGCAAAAAAATCCCATTCATATGTTTTGGACGAGTTTTTCGAGTTGTATCAAGGTGAGTTGCTAAATACCATTACAGAATTGGAAAGTACAATCATTGTGATTTTTGTGCAGCCAGTGAGAGGCCATGTAAACAAGTGAATATCGTGTGTCGTTGCCCTATTTTTAGAAAAAGGTTTGTGTGTTTGAAAAGCTGCCGACAATGTAAATGAAGTTGCGAAAGCAAGAATGACAAGGAAATCAAAGGCAGTCCGTTAGTTCAGTTGCTATTAATCGAGAAATTGAGATTTTGAACTAAATTATCATCTGGGAAAACGTTGAAAGGTGAGTATTCTTTAGAACGAACTGGCATAACTCCATGGCCCAAATGTAGGTGTTTTGCATACTTCTGATACATTTAAATTCCTTTTGTTCAGTCGCTCCCCATCAAAATGTCTTTCTGAAATGTCTTCAGTTCTGCGACTGCTCCTAGTCAGATTAAGTGTAATGTAGCCTATAATGAATAGTCGTCCCCAGTGCCCTCTGAAAATGGCTTTACACAACAAAAATGACCTTCCTAGGATAGACTAAAAACTTGCTTCATCTTTGAGTGCAGGGATGGGCGGATACACATGGTTATATCAGAGCCTATAGAAATAGATAAATGATGAAAATGCAGATAATAGATATTGGTTTTGTTATGAACAAAATCACAAAGTCCATGAGGAAAAGGGAAAGGAATACGTGACCTCTCATGATGAATAATTACAATTTTTGTTTCGAAAATTTGCAATTTTCAAACAAATCGCAGCAGCTTCCAGGCATGAAAATGTCACTCACTTATTCTAGGAGCAGTCAGTTCCAATATGTATAAGTACAACATCATGCAAAAGGGAAAAGGTTGACGGAAAGTGGATGATTGACAGGATAAAAGTCCCATATGGGATTGCTAACTGGGCCATGATATCGAGAATACGCAGGAAAGACTGTTGCAATGAATGCTGAGCCCACCACCTTGGAGTAGCGCCTGTTAAGTCAAAATCAAACATCGAGGTCAGGGAAAACACTGAAGAGAGCGCCTTCACTACTAGCAGGCGCACTGAAAGCTGTTAAGAGTGTCACTAGCTTGAAGCTCCTCGTTAACTGCCCAGCAGCAAAGCGGCAATCATCGAACGACAATCATTATCAACGCTTTGACACAGACATATGCACATAAGCGCTCTCTAATGAATACCCAGACGTAGCCAATCAGTCTAACACCCAACTATCACCACTCTGGAGATTACATATCCGCCATAGACTTCACCTCAACACCGCGAAAATATACGAAGAACTCCTGATATAAGCTGGACAGCCATGCCCAAAGCGGAAACTCATCGTTAATCCCTACGAATATTTGACTAGTAGCTGTCATTGCTCCATATCTACCGAGTTCGACGGTTAGGTGGCACCCCCTCCCCAGAGGAAGACCAGAAACAGTGCACAGAAGAGTGTTGCGAAGCATCAGCGTGTGAAAACGGTTTGAACCGGACTCCCGACTTCAAAAAATACATCAAGTAGAGATTAAAGCATTCGTAGGAGTTTAGCCAGCCAAAGGAACTCTCGTGGCGTGGCACGACAGGACCAACACAGTCCACGTATAGATGGAGGGTTTTTGTTACTTTCTCTGATAGCATAATCTGGATTGTGATTCAACCCAATGAGCAATGCGTATGACATCACACAAAGTCCTGAACTCTGATAGATTGGGGTAAAACATGAAAAAGCAAAATGAGTAGCGAAGTGTGATTCATGCTAGGTTTGTCCCTGATCATCCCTATTAAAACAAAAAGTCGAAGAAGATTGATGACCACAAAACCCACCTTATAAAAATGCCTAGAAAGGGATGGAGGACGAAAAGGAATGGAATGAGGTTCGCAAGAACCCTGAGACACATGCATACAACACATGTAATTCGATGTATTACATTATTAATGAAAAAATTACGATGAAAATCTGATTGCACTCAAAAATGGCCACGCATATGTTTCTCTAAACTATATGATCGCTTCGTTATCAACAGAATTCGACAAATCTCATTTTTAACACAAATTCATAGCAGCCTCGGAAAGCTTTAAGGCTGTAGCAGTAGAAGTACCTGCTTCTACGAAGATACGAAAACAACCTTGCATGACGTTCCCGGATCCGGATTATTAATAGCTACCACAATGATAGTTACACGATACTATAATCCCAGGACTACAAAAAGTGCTGACACGACTACAACTCCTATCAGAAAGGCACTGTACTTTCCAGCTAGGTCTGTAAGAGTGAGTGAAGTGAGATGAGTCACGCAAGATAAGTATCATTTGCGGGCGTTCACCAGCTCATATTGCAAAGGAACATCAAATCATCTATGATATCATTATAATGTAGCGGGCAATAACAATATATGGTAAAAATTTACAATACTATGTAATAATACAATATATGATATAAACTAACGTAATACGCCAATATATAATGTGTAATACACATTTTTTCCCAGACCCACACAAACTTTCGCGCAGCCCTTTCACAAAGGTTAAGGACAGATTTTGCTCATTTACCATTCATTATCTTTATCATAAATTTATTGGTTATCCTTTATTTACTACTCAGTTCAACCCGTTACAACCTTTAAAGCTGATTCCAAGCGTTCAGTAGCTGATGGTAAGATCGTGCTGAGGGTAAATATAGCTGGCTCACGTTGTTTGAATTCTTCTGCCGTTCGAAGTTTTTAGGTGGAACACTTTATTAAGTTCATTTTATTATTTCTATTTCATAGCTGGCTCAATTTCTCGCTTCTTTAGCCTAATTGCTTTGGGCGTGGTGGTTGATATTGTTCCCGTTTCTTTTCTGGGTTGCCCCTCACTCAATGTATTCGTAAACAAATAGGCCACCAAAACATAGTCAGAACTACGCCATGGCCCAATTCTCCGGTGTTTCAAGTACATATTCCATTCTAAAATTGTAAAAGACCGCTGTTGGGCATTTGGTTCAGCTATCCACGTGTGTATACATTCATAGCACGTCATAATCACATTTGAAGCCTGCACAAACTCAATAGAACACCGCCAACACTACGTAAACAGACCTTTCCATTCAACGCTATCGACAAAATTAGAATTACATTACAAATTTCGCATCCCATTTTGAATTTTTCTTCAAAGAAAAGGAAGTGTACGATGGAGGCGCCAGGCACAACAAAAGTGAGCGAAAATCGCAGAAGCCCAGTTTGTAAATAAAGCTTGAAC